GGACGAGGCGGTGGAAACCTTTAAAGTTGGGATTCAACCTTTTAAGAATGAAAAAAAAAGGGTTTAGCCCTCTGGGATATAGCACAGTGGTGTAAAGGAGAGGAGTGAGGTTATCTCACGCTTTGTTGGCAGCCGCAGTATAGGGGTTCGATTCTTGAGACATGGAATTGGATTTCTTGTAGGCGCACTGTATAGACAATTCTTATTCCCTGACCTGTTGGAGCACATCTCGCAATTTATCTCCCTCACAAAGCTCTAGGGTCGGGACGATGGACCTCAAGATTGGGGTTAATCTTTTGTTAAAAAAAGGGGTTCAAACAGGTAGTAGTACTTGTCTGAAAGAAACAGTAATCGAAGGATACTCTCGCACTCGAATTCCGTACATTTTGTCCAAAGCAAACAGTACCCATCGTACGGAAACATCCTACAAAAATCTAAAGCTCAAAAACCACCAGAACTAACGTACGTAAAATGCTTTGGACCAATCAGAAGTCGACAACTTATCCTCATAAAACCACCTGGTTTTCTATGGTGGTTTCACATCCTATTCCATATGTGTACGTGCTTTATCAGACAGCACATCCACCAAAAGGAAACAAGTCAAGAAAAGAAAACTTACTGTACCTTAAAAACTTACACCAAGGGAGAAATAACTAAGATTTCATCTTTCTAGTAGGTGAAAAAAGAATTATATAATTCCTGGGTTTCCATTTTTAGGGTTGTTTTGTGTTTGCGAGCAAATTTTAGAGTGAGAAAATGGGGAGAGGAAAGGTACAGCTGAAGAGGATAGAGAACAAGATAAACAGACAGGTGACCTTCTCAAAGAGGAGAGTTGGATTGCTAAAGAAGGCTCATGAGATCTCTGTACTGTGTGATGCAGAAGTGGCTTTGATTTGTTTTTCCTATAAGGGGAAGCTCTTTGAGTATGCCACTGATTCTTGGTATGTTATTTCTCATCTTTATCTTTATTTATATGATCTAAATATATTATGATTCTGTGATAATAAGATCTGTTATTTTCTCTAGGGTTTCTTAATTTCTATTCTCTTGATTGGTTTGTATGTTATTTACTTATGAGTTCTTGATCAGTTTGGGGACTTGTATATATATTTTCAGTTCTTTTATCTTCGAATTTTCATGAAATTAATTTCTATTTTCTGTGATTCAAAAAGACACATCAATTTAACATCCCTTATTATTTTTATTTTTGTTCATTGTCTCTTTAAGATTTCTTGGCTGTCTGTGAATTGTGGGCATCTATATAAAGTAAATTGTTGTGTTTAATGAATTCAACTTAGATTTCTTTGAACAACGATGTTTTCAGTCCTTATTGTGTATATATATCAGTTTTTTTATGTTTTTCTATACTGATTGCATGATGGTCAGATTAATTAATATTCTGGGGCTTCTCCCGAAAAAAATCACAAATCATAAGAAAATTTTAATGCTAAGGAATATTGGGAACTATATTAAAAAGAATTGTGAAATATAGGTACTTAAAATTGTTGTAAAACTTAAAATTTCTCTCCTGTTTGAATTACATGAATTGAACATTCCTCATTCTTCATTCTTCCGTTTTCTGTCTAAGATTTCTTGGTTAATCTGAACTTGGTCGTCTATAAATCCCTTCTAGTTAAAATGTCTTTTTCCATACATTTGGTCGTCTTCCATGAATTTCCACAGAGTTGTTTTGAAAACTTTATGCAATGATATTGAGTACTTTTTGTCCTAGTACTGACAAATTAGCTGTTGAATTCATTAATATTCTGGAGCTTCTTTTGAGGAATTCTTAAACTCAGGAGATGAAAGTTTCAGTACCTTTCTGACTAGAAAAATCAGATTGAAAGGTCAAAAAATACAAATATTTCAGAAATCGAAACGTTTAAAAATCTAAGTCCATGAGATACCAAAATAAATCAGGTATGTAAGAAATTACAATTGTACTATCAGCGTCGTTCACGCCCCTCACACAAAGAGGGTTCATGCTTCTTCTTTTTTATTGGATGTGGACCCCACTCTCATGTAAAGGACGTATATATCAACGTGTCAACGTCGGTGAATAAATAGCAAAATTTTAGAAACTATAATATAAAGGTAAATGACACACAAGTACTGAAGTAATATGAATTTTTTTTTCTCTGTGTCTAAATTACAAATAGAATCTCCGTCTTTATAAAGGTACAAAAAAGTAGTAGAAGGAGATACAATTATTGAAATAATTTAAAATCGTGACAGATATCTACATATCTCTTCAAACTCAAAATGTTCTCGCAGAAACAAGCTTTTGTTTAGAAAGGAAATTATACAAAAACGTTAATACTTAATAATGTAACCATTGGCATAATAAATTTCATACTGTAGTGACAGCCCAAAATTTTCAAATTGATTGAAATTTAAACAACAAAATATACATATTAACAAACTTTAATGTCACTCTGTAGTACTCGAAATTAACTTTAAAACCATCGAGTATTTTTCCAAATTTCTACTAATATAGCTATTTTATTTTGGATACACTTTGCTAATGTATTTACCTTAGTGTGTATAAACTAGAAATAATATATAATTTTCGCATTAGTCCATTGCTGTCTAATTTTAACTTCATTAATAAAACCTATGGGTGTCTGCTTGTGATTGACTCTCGGAACCACGTTTAAATACCTGCTCGTTATCTGAGAGTAAGCACCTCCTGCATTGTCACGCTTGTAATGCAAAATTATATGAATGCATACTCAGTAAGCAAATATGTGAAGGAAGATGTTTCTTACTTGACTTTCCCTTTCTTTCTTGACATATCTTACGTGCAAATTTTATATTATTTTATCATTTACTTTTCCCTATCTTTCTTGTTCTTACTTTGTATCTTATCATTCTTTTATTTGCTTGGGCATGGAATCGCGACTGTCATGTGAGATCATATATCAATAAGGTCAATCATGTATGGAAGTCTTGTTGGAATCTACTTAACATGCGCAACGAAAAATTAAAACAATTTTCGATTTCCACCAAGAATCGTCTTTGTGTTTAGATAGAAATTGATAAAAGTGATACCTTTTACGATCTGCAAACTCTTTTGCTTTATCTTTGTTCTAGCAACTTGGATCTATTTCCCACAACTATCCAATTGTTCAGCCTCCAACGGTGATCCACACAGAGAACAAGATTGTACTATTAGAGTTTTTCTTGTGCTAGCAAGAATAATGAAAAATCACTACAATTTTGAAAATCCTAATCATATTTATATAAGCCCGAACGGGCTTAGCCTGACTCGGTCCAACATTTAATTAACCCATTTAATTAAATCCGGTTCGTGAATTAATTAATCCAATTAATCAATTCAGGTCTATAAATAAGTAACCCAATTAATTAATTTATCCAACACTTGTTAAATTAATTAATTGACAAATCACAATCTTCTAGCTCTCCTTTTTGTGTGTGACCCATCAGGTTCTCGATCACGATGCCTAACGA